AAAGCGCTTGAGAACGTATGGTTCCTAGCTATCTCCATCTATCCAATACACATTATCACCCAGCAGGGGACGTACATATGCAGGAAGCAGTTTGCATGCGAAGCCCCATGCTGTTCTGCTCACAGGACAAAGCCTTCCCCAAAGCAGTGACTGAACTGTAAGAGTCATCTTAAGTAGTGGTTTGTTCGCTCTCTCTTGGCTATAGTGATGCTTTGGAGATTTCGGACTGTTGCCAGCTGTCTTCTGCAATGCAATGAGCCTGACGAAGATGTAGGAAAATCAACACATGCTCAAAGATCAGTCCAAAAGCATGTATCCTATTATTGAGTCTTACTTAATAATGTAGGAAAATAACTGATCCCATTTCTCCCTCAGAATCAAGAATCAGGGCTAAGAAAGGTAACTAACGCTACCAGTTGGTATGCACCACAACTCTGTCCTGACTATTCTTATCCTATTTACCTACAGAACAAGTACAGGAGAAGATCTGAAACCAATCAAGCACTGTCCTGGGAACTGGAACCCAAGAGCTGCAAGACAAATGTTGACCAAGAGATGATGAAGTATTTTCTTTGGTTGCAGCACGTGAACTTCTGTTGGTAGAAAGACACTGGTTTGAACCTGAAAAAAGCTTGTTTCTACAAGACCCTTTTTTTTACTTTGAAGGTTGTCTTCTGCTAAAACTTCCAAGACCAGCGAATACCATATATTCTGGCTTTCAAAATACCAAACCGTCTATCCATCCCATTTCTGCTGGGGCCATCAGGAGAGGTTTTCAACCTAATTTCTATCTTAAACCATTGTTGAGTCCCGAGTTTGAGAAGGATTTAACTGTAAGTTGCAGAAAAAGAATTGTTTGTGCGTATGTCAAAAACTGTAAGACTTTTTCTGTGGTGTAGATTTCCCTGCCATTAAACTCAATAATTTCACTTCATTTGACCCAGTTTGGACCTCTCCGCATTTTGGAACATTTCAATAGCCACAGAAGTGGCTAGATAATAGCTAACAAATAAAATACCAGCCCAATGTAACTGGAACAAATAAGCTGTGTAGCACAAATGCTCACTGAAACTCAGCAGAAATCAGAGCTCTGTACAGAGCTCAGGAAGGGCAGGAACAGCAGTCCTGATGTGGAGAATGGCCATTTGTCCACCTGCAGTTTTATAACTCTTCACGTAAAACCAGTAAATCATCTCAGGTCCTTTTTTTTGGATAGGTTTCCACTAACATTTTACATAATTTGTCTACAAAGTGAAAAGGCTTTATTATTTCCTCTGTAACATGAAGGTGAGGAAACATAAACTATTATTATTTATTATTATTATCATCATCATTATTCTTTGTGTTGTTATTAGTATTTAGAGTAGGAGAGGGGAATGTGGAGAGACTGTGAAAGCAATACGCGTTGCCTTCCTATACAAAACATAATGCAAACAAAATATGTTGACTAAGTTTTGCATGCTAATAAATTTGTTATGACTTCATCCAATTACGGCACATTTAGCAGTTTGTATACCACAATGAAATCTGCAATTATAATTTTTGTGACTTTATGTTCCAGACAAGTTGATGGGATTGCTGCTTAGCAGCTCCTAATCTGGTCTACGTTTTTATGTCCCATATGAAAGTTGTTGCAAATTGCATCTTTCCATTTATTATTTAGAAGACAGGTGCACAGAAAGCAAAGCTGGTGGTGGCAGACCGAGACTTATTAGCCGCTACAAACTGCAACATATTTATCCTAGAAAAGAAGCCCTATTTTAAGTATAATTTTTGCTAATCAATAAAATCTAGATAATCGGTATTTTCTACAATATATAGGCTTACCATATTCAAACGGTTTGTTGAATAGGCTTTTGTTTTGAGCTGAGAACTTTGGTTAGAAATAGGCATATTATGGGCAATCATCACAGAAATGTACAGTTATGGCTGTGTCAATAAAACCGAATGGGCTCTGGCCATCCCTTAAGGGTATTCTTGCTAGAAGAATGTTGACCTGAGAGCTCTGAGAGCATCATCTCTTGTGCTGGGGTGGATCCCTTTGCTGACTGACCATCAGGCAGCAAGAGAAGAAATCTAATGGGATCGCAGACTATGGCCTCTGAAGTGAAAACCCAATAGTAACTAATTGTCCTAATCATCATATATTCTGCCTCCCAGACGTATCTGTTAGGAAACACAAGCTTCACTAGCATCAGTGAGGATGTTGAGGGGTACCTGTGGAGAAGCAACTCTGGTTTGTGAAAAGGATAAAAGGGGAAAAAGCTGAACTGAACCATGGGAAGAATTTAAATGGAGGGACATATCCTTTTGTATTGCCTATATTAACTGAAAAATAAAAAAAAAACTACCCACATTAATCTGTCACTGTCAACAATATTATGCTTCTCTCCCTTAAGTTCCAGCCCACTGTTAGGAGTAGCTCAAATCCACATGGAGACTGCAGGATTATTGGGATGGAGCAGTGCCTACCAGACTATTCATGGAGAAAGCGTATTCATAAGACAAAGTGACTAAGACTAAAACAGCTTACAGAGAGACAGATATGCTAGAAGTTACGACTTCAGTAACCCCTTTGGTTCATATTGTTTCAGATATGAGAAAAGGACAAGGCCAATGAAGAGGGAGGCAAATTAATAGCTTTTAAGAGTTGAGAGTGGGAGGACAAGTGACATTTCGATGTGAAGAATGACAGATAAAATGATCCAGACAATTGGGATTATGGAGAACATAATTCCTCTGCCAATCCGTACTTTTTTTAAAAAAGCAGTAGCAGCTGGGATCCAAGAAACGAAACAGCAAAACCATTCGCAAATAAAGAAAAATGAGAAGTGTAGCTGAGTGATGAATGACAAGCTAAAGCAGGAAAGCTAAACACCAGGATGTAAAGCTAATGGCAATGTTTTGCAGGAAGACTAACATTCACATTCCTCTTCTGGACCATAGCTGGGACAGAAATTATAATCTGCTGGAAAGCTTCATTCACTCCTCCCATTCCTGCACCTACCAGCTAAATGAATGCACGTGGCTCCAGGACTACCAAACGTTGCAGCCCCAGATCTGAATTTGAAAACAACCTCAGAGAAGAATTATTCTGAAATTTCATTGGCTTTCAGGAAGTTGTAAGGCTGAGACAATACAAATACATTTCTAATACAACAGTTGCATTCTCAGAGGGTTTGGGAAATTTTTTAGTGCTATGTAAAAAAGAAATTAAAATTATCTACATTTACAGCAGGTAAATGCCAATTTATCTGGTGAGCAGCACTGCCCAAGTTAACTAAAGCAAGGAAGCAACTGGCATGAATGAGCTCAGACCAATATGAGATACTGCACTGAGTCATACTGGACAAGACAGTCTCGTTAAACTCAAGAATTTGAAAATGAGAAGGAAAGAGCAGAAAAAAAAAGATCCTGGAAATTAATTTTCAAACTTTCAAAAACTGAATTCTTATCACAATTCCTAAATATCTTGAAGTCTGGGACTTCTGCAAGTGAAACGTCTTCTTGAGAGATATAAAAACATGTAAGGCAGCTGTACCTGTTGCTGCTCAGTGTTAAGAATGGTCATTCCATCTTGTGGCATTTTGAAAACCACTCTGAAATCATTTTATTGGAAAGCAAAAGAAACCAGCCCCAAAGTATTCTCATAAAATCTATAAATATCTTGGTTCCTGGAAGAGCTCAAATGCCACCCTGCAGCTCCATCAAACACTGAGACAAGTCATAAATGTCTCTGCCTTTACTTAAATTTAAATAAATAATTCTTGCATGTGGGTAATAGGCTACGTGACTTGAAAAAGAAACCATGCATCTGCATGTGAAGCAAAATTTCATTTGTCTTAAGGCTATGTGGACATATCACCTGCTCCAGATTCGGGTGTTGTACCAAGATGGCTCTTAGTTGTCATTTGCATTAATATACTAGTCTCAAATTTAATTGATTCCTACTTGAACGAAATATGTTACTGCACAACAAACTGATCTTAATTCTTTTACTATTAAGTATTATAGCAAGTACTGAAGATTACCAAATTACCTAAAACAACTGACAGTAGGCGTGCTACCAAATAGCACAGAATTCAAGTGAAAGAAAAACTGAGATATATATGGTACCACAAGCTGTTCACTCCGAGAAGGTGAAAGTTAACCCAAGCCAACAAAGAAAGCAGGAGCAATTCATTGGATTATCTGGGATTTTTTTTAAAGGTTACAGAGTAACATAATTTTTCAGATTGCTATTACGAAGTTTTGCATTCCTTTCACATCTGTGATAAACATCCAGCTTTTAAAGAAAGTATGTAGTATTTAATTAAATATGAAGGTAAATGGGAAATGATATCACAGAGAAAAATTAGTACCAAATCTCCATTATTCAGTGGGAGTAGGAAAGACATGGCCAAAATACTACAAAGTTTTTGTTCCATGGAAAATACTAGAAAGTTAAAATTTTTCCTTTCTAATCAGAACTGAAACATACACTCTGAATAGTCTTGGCTTGGAAAAAAGCCATAGAACAACTTGAAATTTGAGACTGTTGTATTCCATGTCTTCAGGTTTTTACTATCTATACAGTATTTCATACCATAATCAGTAATTCAAAATGAACTCTACTGACATGATATGACCTTTGAAATATGGCACTGTTATCTTATTTGGGGGGAATGCTTAAGGCACAAACAATTGCAACATCTTTCTCCCAGATGAAGTTGCCCGTTCTTTGTCACGACAACCCAGTTGCAGTGGCCCTGGAATGCCCTTCCTGCTCCGCCTCAGGTCCTCAGTCAAGCTATAACTTTGCTCAGATCATGACTATCAATGTGCTCCCATCGTCTTTGAAAAATGTATAGCAAACTCTCCCTCTCTGCTGACACTGCCATATGTAGAATGGCCCCAATTCAACTTCTCCCTGCTATATAAGAAAGGACTATCCCGGGGGACTGAAGCATGCAAATATGAAATAAAAGAAGGTAATAAAAAAGTTGACTAACCTAACCCACCTGAGCTCGGCTCACAGGGATCAATGTCCTCGTCATCGCTCGGACATTCAGCTGAGGCCACCAGGATGTCATCTGTGGTCTGCAAAGAAAATAAAAGTCAAATAGATATATTTTAATTGACTGAACATGTTGTAAGATTCTCACTGGTATTTCTTTTATTGCTCAGATTTATGCAAGGCCCAGAGCATTCCAAACTTAATATATAATGCCACAGTGACACTCTCCAACTCGGTATAAATGGGACTTTGCTATTCAATTTGCACTTGTCAGTTTTTAGAAGAACTATGTTAGATATCCAGTGCAGGCAGTTAAACATTTTAATATTTTTCTGTAATAAGAACAGAAAGTAGAAGGATAGGATATGTATATTGGGGCTGCTGGTCTTCCCTCTTTATTTCCAATATCTCTACTATAATATTGCTGAAAACACTGAAAGCATTAAAAAACCAAGTCAAAATATTGAACTGCCTGCAGCTGTTAAAACTACCAGAAACGTAGTGATGTTTTCTCCATTAATTGCGCTTGCTTTCTCAGATGTAGAGCCAAAAAAAAAAGGAAAAGAAGCAAACATGACTCTCATTGAGTTGAAAACTATTTAATGAAAAGAAAGTCAAGGAAAGAAAACAATAATAGATATATGCACTGTTAGAAAGTATCATCCTATTTTCTTAAATAAGTGAAAACCTCTTATTTTCTTAAATAAGTGAAGTATTGCCCAAGTGCTGTCTTTAGGTCCAAGGGGTTCTAGGAACGTCTGTCCAAAATGAGCTTGGACAGTTCTTTGTATAAAGAAATCAAATAAATCAAGATGAAGGAGGCAAACCAGGGGATGTACGATACAACATGCTATAAAGAAAAGAAACCAGGGATTCCTATCTACTGCTTCTTATCTATCTTCTATATCGTATCTACCGCAGTACACGAACAAGGAGATATTCAATGAAACACTGAGGCAATCAATCTGAACCTGATAAAATGAAATACCTTCTGTTCAAGCCACCTCTGAGAACAGTCATTTAGAAATGTAATAAGAACATCCACAGTTATTAGGGGAAATAATAGCAGGGAAATATAAACTGTCATGCTCCTGGTCATTTCTCAAACAATTACTAATAAGGTTAGGAAGAAGCTTTTCCTATGGGCAAGACGTTTCATAACTGTCCATTTCAAGCTTCTGTTCACCTCACTGAAGGAAATACACGGAGAGAATAAAAAGACTACATCATATTGAAACAAGAGGCTAAGGATACAGCAGGCAAAGAGCCATTCTTGGATGGCTGTATGATACAGATTCCAACGAGGAGATACAACCCATTTCAGTGAATGTGAAACTTTATATTTTTTTTCTGCACGAGTACAGAGGAGGGACATAAAATACATCAAAGTTTTCCTTCATCAGTTTAAGTCGGAACATGTAAAAGTTTTATTTCTGTGCAGTCGGGCCAAAGCCTAACCAACGTTGTTTATCATTATTATTCTAACTGAAGTTTTAAAGCAAAGCATATTACAGTAATAGGCTTTTCTTCGTCATGCTTCAAGAATATTAATGAACATAGGCTTTCAGCACTTCTGTGAAGTAGGAAAGTGATACAGGAATACATTCATTACTATGTGAGGCATAACAAAGAAAAGCCTATTATAATAATATTATATTTTACAGGTAGAAGACTGAGGCATAAGAGAATGAAGTAACTTGCTGAAGGTAATCAAAAAGGCTATAGACAACAGCTATGTTATGTCACAGTTTGATGCCATAATCACAAAAATGATCTTTCCTCATACCTGAGAAAATTTATAGCTGGGGGAAACCACTCTATAAATCTGTAATGTTGCCAAAATTAGCTGGCAGATTTGCAATGAGAGTTAAAAAGACCAAAAAAAAGTATCCTAGCTGTCCATTCTTTCTGCCATGTAGAAAAACAGAGTTATAACAAAAGCCAGCTGCAAACGTCATCTTGAATTGCTAATGTCCACTTCTTTTCCCCAGAATACAACCATTTAAGCTTGAAAATCAATATCTTAGTCTCTTTGTGGAAAAGCACCTATGTTTTTCCCAAAGTACAAAGAAAAAATAAACAACCAGGAAGAACCAATAAAGACTGCACTTAATAAGTTAACTCTGTACTGTAAAAAACACAACGAATAAGTATAAAAAAGTACTAATAAGTACAAAAAAAAGGTATCGTGCATCTCTGAAACAGTTTCAAATTGGTCAGTGAAACCACACTGTCATATTTTTCCTTCTGCCCATAACACTGGAGAAGACTATACTTTTATGACCTGCAGCCAGAATTCTGAACATTTACCAATTGATCACTGGGGAACTGTACACAAACACCGTTAAACAGAGAGGATCACAGGCATACGTAATAGTCATAGCAAGAAATGATGGCCTGTGAGATATACTGGTCTAACTGGAATTTTTTTTAAGGGTGCTTTGGTACCCGCATGGATGAGTAACCCTTGTAACTTGAGCAAACTGAGGTGAAATGATCAGATAGATTTATAGAATTATTGCAGTGTCTCTGATTATTCTTGATATAGGATAGCATGGCCAGAGTTCACTTTAAGCAACTCTACTTTTTGTACAGTTCGCAGTGCATTTAAAATTACCAGAAAATAACTGTGGAAAAATCATACACTTTAAGTATTTTAATGTATGAGAGATACTGTGCTCAGTTACCTGTAAGAGGGAGCGTCAAAACTGTCTTTATAAAGTGACACTAATTTCAGTCTACGGAAAGAGTATTCGCACTTCTACAAGAACAAAGGGATGTTTTTGACTGATAAAAGTGCATGTATATTATGGGTACAGAAATGAATAGTACTTTAAATAAATGTGAATATAGCATGTCAAGAAAGACCTCATTAATGTCTCAGAGTATTAAAGGAAATAATGTATGTTTCAAAGTCAATACTAGATACAAAACTAATTTTGTTGCAAGCAATAAATCAACTATCAGTATTTGAATAAGAAGGGAAGTGGTAAGATGATGTGAAAAATGTTTTCTTCAGAAAAATATGTCAGGAAGAATTCCAGTTTAAGTATCAATTAACAGATGTGTCACAACCTCCCCCTATTCTCCCCTTTCTCCAAACTCAAATACCTCTTTCCCGCTACTCATACATATTTTTATCAGAAAAAAGGCAAAGGAGCTGTGAAAGGCAAGTGAGATGGCAGTGACCGAGCTACAAATGAAAGCCATTGGACTACTTAACACAATTTAAAATAGGATTAAGAATTAGCTAAAACGCTAGAGAATACAAAGAATACATAAATTAAGGAAATACTATGGGCCACCTACCAGAGTCCTTTCTCCAGAAGAGCTCTGACTGACAGGAATTTACCTGAACAGAGAGCAGGATTTAGACCTAAGGGTCTCAGACAGCCGTGGGGTACAGATAAATAACGCGAGGCAGAGTAATATGTTTTACTTACTGCACGTTATCTTTTCCTCATGCTTTTTAATTTGGATGGGAAGATTTGAAACACATCAGTTCTCCTAAGTGAATTGCAATTGTTGCTAGCACTATGGCTAATTTACAGGACACTGCTTTGAGCATTCTCATTAATCAAGGATTTAAAAGTCAGTGGAAAATCCCTTATTTACAGTGAGTGCCTAATAGGATAACATCCAACTGGTATCATCATAATACACGATCGGATTAGAACGTCTCTTGGGCGAGTTGTTCAAATTCATTTAAGAAGCGATACTTTAGTTGTAAGAGATTAAAAAAATATATTAAAATAGCAGGTGTACAACCTGGAAGGCCAGGCAGAATTTCTTTTGATTGCATCTTCTTTTCTTCGCGTATTTTCAGAGCTTTTCAGATTCGTTCTGCAGATGTAGTTGTATGATTTAAAATGTAGTCCATTGTAATATGTGGCTTCTTAAAAAGTTGGACATCTGTTCACATTTCAGAAAAAGGATGGTAGAAAAAGCTTGCAATTAATGTGCCAATATAAAAAAATGGACAAAAAAAAAATCACATTTTGTAAAGCTAGAATTCACTGCATAATGTCGTTTCTGACAATTATTCATGGGTGTGGCCCCTGCAAGAATAGGTCTTGCGCATCAGTCGGGTCTGCTTGCAAAAATAAGGACTTTGGGATTTGTTCCTCAGCCAAGAGAGTTTAAAATATCACCAATCTGCCACCCTGCCTGAGGAAGGAAATGGTGACTTTTGCAAGAAAGCTCCTGGCCAGATCAAAAAATGTCGCTGTAGTCATGGCTTAAATACAGTGACAGTCTGTAGCTATGGATAAATATCAAGCTGCCTCAAAGGCTACTACCGTGGGTTCAAAACTGGTACCAGCAATTATGGTTGTGCCCTTCTAATAGTGCTCCTGGAATGCTATGTCATTAAAAAAAATAATTGCAAATGAACAAACAATACGGGAAAGTAATTTTTTTTGGTAATTATTATTCAGGTTTTGCATGACTAGGCATAAATACATACCATCTTACTCAGTTTTTATGTATGAAGCCTCTTATACCTGAGGGTACCAGAGGAATATGATCTAAAAATTAAATCACCAATCTGAATTGTGCATTCATTAACAGTATAATGGTTCCTGCATATTTTCTCTTGTAGTATTCCACCAGCTCTCCGTTAAATCACAGCACCCTACAGCTAGTCTGAGTATAGTTTATTCCTTTCTTGTTCAATAATATACTTTATCCCATGAGAACTGCAAGTAAATCCAAATTACACAACAGTTAAAAACTAGCAGTCCTAAATTATTGTATGAATTATAAACAGCATAACTGCTTGTGACTAATGTTTAAATTATTTTAGATGAGAACTTCAACTGTGTAATCAAAACTATTCTTATTGATTTGTACAGCTTTGGCACTTAATGATACCAGCCAGGCACTGTAGTGCTTGGTGTTAAAGGCAGCTGGAAGGAAAAAGCTCTGCTCTGAGGAGCTTACAGTTTGATTTCGGACCAGATGCAACAAATGAGTGTGAGAGGAGAGGAGGGAGCAGAGGACGAGAAGGGTCAAGTGCGGTTGCTACTGGTAAGCGCTAGCGGTTACGCAGGCTCTGATCTAGCAAATCTTCCAAAATGATGCT